ATATATAAATTCCAAAATCTGAAATGCTCCAGAATCCGAAATTTTGAGAACCAACCTGTTCTCATATTTGGGAAAGTCTATGATAGGTCATGGTCCAAACACAGGCATACTAGAAGTACTGTACACTATGTAATTGTGTATCTGTGTGTGTGTGTGTGTGCGTGCGTGCGCGCTATAAGGTGGACAAGGTCTGCATGAAACAAAGGAATTTCATGTTTAGACTTGACTCCTAACCCTAAGATATCTCACTATATATGCAAATATTACAAAATCTAAAATTTGAAATCCCGTTGTTGTTAGTCATTTCAGATAAAGAACAATCAACCTGTATTACTAAAATCTTTTTTTTTTTTTTGCTTTATTGAATTGCCCATTTATAGATGTAAAAAAAATTTTATGAGCACAAGTGTTCAGCACATAATGACTACATTTATCATGGGGAGTCAGTGCATGTACATAACACGTATTAAATCTTTTACTTCCCCTTCCATCCCTCTATAAAATCTTCCTGTACTACTCTCACCACTTGCTAGTGAGACTGTTTGTGAGTATGAGTAATAACAAAGCTATTTAAATGGATGAAAAAGATGTGATATTTTTATACAATGGAGTATTACTCAGCTATAAAGAATGATAAACTCGAAGCCTTTATATTGAAGTGGATGCCACTTGAAGATATAAGTGAAATAAACCAGACACACATGTGTAAATATAGTATAGTTTCCCTAGTATAAGAACTCAAAAGAAGAAATACAAATAGAAAGGTATAATACAATTAAAAGAAAGCAAAACTTGAGGACTAGACGAGAGAGCAAGGAGATGAGCTGGGAAACATGACAGAGGCAAGCCATACAGTTATATGTACAAGATGGGCAAGGCAATGTTCCTGAGAATCTTCAGAAGATTTTTGAATCTAGCAGTTAATTGGAAGGATTCTCACCCTGACTAACCCTATATGCTGATACCTGTGAACTAAGCAACTGCACTGAAGATGGCAATTTGTAATAGTAGGTTCATGCTTGGAGTGCCGGTCGTTCTGGTCTTCTGAATACGGGCTGCTTGTCATGACATGCCATTGCTGCTGTGCTATCTCTCGGGTAGATGATTGTTTAAAAAGGAAGGGGGTGGTGAGTGAAGGCAGAAAATAGGAAAAGGAGTGTTGCAGGACTGTCTTGCAACAATGTTGTATATGGTTAGATTTCTGGACTTACGTGTAAACATATATAATTCTTTATACCTATTTTTTAAATATATTTTAATTAAAAAAAAACAAAGCTGTTTATCTTCATTTTGTTTAGCTTCATTTTCCTTAACTAGTTGCTTGTGTAATTCTAGTGACCTGTAAGTATGACATCTAGTGTTTATTATCGTGGACTGTGGAAAACTTATTGTGAAAAACTATTCTAGAGGTTGGGTAACTCCATAGACGGATTTATGTTTGTTTAGCTGTACGTTGTGGAAGTTGAAAGGTGCTGCTGCCTGTTCTTGTTTCTGAGGGAGGGCTCATGATGGCGATGGCACCACAACAGCAGGGTGGCATAAAAGCCAGAGATGTTCGGAGAGCTGCTCTGTGCCTCTCTGACCTGGGACCTCCCAGTGGACCCCCCTCAGTGCCGCCATACTGAGCAGCAAGCCTCTGAATACATGGGCCAATAGGGGACAAACTACCACCCAACCACTCCAGAGAGTTAGTTAATAGGTTTCTTCTGTTTTTGTTGTTGTTTGAGACAGGGTGTTTTTTATGTAGTTGCTGTTAGTCTTGAGCTCACTATGTTGCCCAGGCTGGCCTCAAATTCAACAGTCTTTCTGCTTTAGCCTCCTGAGTGCTGGGATTATAGGCTTATATCACCATGCCCAGGTTTTAGAAGAATGAACATGTATATATTTTAGAGAAAGTTACCTAGAGAAATGAATGAGTTACTCATTGCCCCTCAAAAGCATCACTTGCTTTTTCTCATGCCAGTTTTTTGTTTGTTTGTTTTCTTTCAAGCAGGCTGTGTATGATGACAGTACAGGATGAAAGTACAGGATGACTTTCTTGTTCCCACAGCCTCTTTGCTGGAATTGTGGGCATTTACCATCATACCTCGTGTCAGTGAACTGTTTTACATTGACTCTTTATCATGGTTTCCTATGCCTGATATTTTCCAAGACAGTGGAATAATAATGCTTAAGAAAGTCATTAAAAGTCATAGCCAAGTGAGTTGGTTTTCCCACAGAATATTTTCCTTTCAGTGGATTTTTTTTCCTCTTCTAGTTTAAACTAGTAGACAGAAAATTATGATGTGTATAGAAACTTCATAATGACAGAATTTTTTTTATTAAATTTAATTTTATTATTTCATTTATGCCAGAATTAAGCTTTCAATACATATTATAATAGCAGCACAATCTGGGGGAAATAAGAGCCTAAAGAGTTTTGTGTATAGTTCTGCTTATTTCCGTTTATTTCTTGTTTATCAGAGTGGACTTCCATATGTGGAGGTGCTGTGTAAAAACCGATATGTAGGAAGAACATTCATTCAGCCAAACATGAGATTAAGACAACTTGGTGTTGCAAAAAAGTTTGGAGTATTGTCAGACAACTTTAAAGGCAAAAGAATTGTTCTTATAGATGACTCAATTGTGAGAGGCAACACCATTTCACCCATAATAAAGTTACTCAAAGAATCTGGGGCAAAAGAGGTACGTAATATTAAGGTGTTCTTTTTTTTTTTTTTTTGGCGGAACTGGGGATTGAACTCAGTCTCTTGAGCTTGCCAGGGAAGCGCTTATTCCACTGAGCCATCTCCCCTGCCCCAAGGTGTTCTAAAGTACCATTCATTAGTAATTAACAGTATAATCTTAGCAAAAATACTGCAGTTCAGTATATTGTGTGGGTAGTTCAATATAGATTAACTTTCATACTAGATTATTTTATGTATACATGTTGATGAAGTAAGCACACTAGATCGTTTTATGAAAACTAGCAATTTGGAGAACATGGAATAGCCACTGTTGGTTACATACTAAATTATATAT